ATAATGTTTCACTTTAAAATTAATAAAAAATACATCTTAAAAAAAAAAAAAAAAAAAAATAATGTATGTTAAGCTTTAAAATATAAATAATTTTTATAAAAATGTATAATTATATTGTTTAAATGTCATGAAAAAATAAAATACAGTAAGATTAAAAATTTTCTGTAATGTTTATCTTTATATTATTTATAAAGAATTACATTTAAAATTTTTTATTCAATATTCTTTTTTATATTTCTTAAATTTTATAAAAAATATATTAAAAACATCTTAAGTATTTTTTATAATAAATTATGTATATATTACACAATATTTAAGAAAAATAAATTTCATTTTTCGTATTCTGTTTTTAATTATTATTATCTTCACTCGTTTTTTTTGTTAAATAAATCTAGTACCATTGGAACAGTTCTTATAACAAAAATAATGCCTGCTAAAATTCTGATTTTGTACTTTAGCTCATTTAGTAAGATATCTTTGGGGGATTCTTCATTTTCATTATTTAGCAGAAACATTTTTAAAATTTTTTAAAAGGAAAAAAGAATTTTAATAAAATAAAAATATATAATTTATTTAAAAAATAATTTTTTAAATTGATTATTTAAAAAAAGTAATGAAAAAATATTATTTATTATCTATTTAAACATTTAAAATTTTATTTTTTTAAATTATATTTATTAAAAATAAAATTATAAACGTCACATAATGTTTTCTTAAGAATGTACTTTTTTTTAATTAAAATTATTTCTCATACAAACATATCCGAAATTTTTGTAACAGATAAGAAAATTTATATTTATATAAATATAGATATTTATAATACAATTTTTCTATTTTTTTTTTTTTTTTTTTTTCATATAAATATATACCTAAATATTTATTTATAATTTTTTATTAAAACAAAAAAACAGAAAATTTAAGTATGTTTTGTATATTTCAAAAATATACTTTTTTTTTCTTATTATATCATTATGAAGATAAAAAGAAAATAAGTAAAAATAGTGAGAACCTTTTTAATACAACTTACTATATAAAAAAGTCAATTTATTCTCATATATTTCTTCAATATAAACAAAAGTTTCCTAATTACAATTTATAATACTTGAAAAAAATTGAAAGCTTTTTTTTTTTGTTAGTAATATTAATGATCAAAATAATTAGTTATTATATACACAAACTTATGTGTATATTTGTTTCCTCCTTTTCGTAGATTCTATTAGAATTTTTTTTAAAAAGATTTAAATATATATAGCATCTTCATAAAGATTTATAGATTCATTTAATGTATCCATATAATATTATCTTAAGTTTTGCTGAATGGAAAATTTTTTTAACTATATCTCTTTTATATTATTATATTAAATTTTATAAAGAATGTTTTATAAAAAAAAAATATTAAATCTTTAATATTTTTTTTAATGACTATATTATTTAAAATTCATATGCAATTTTTCAAAGTGAGATTATATTTACCTTATGCTATTAAAATTTAAAAAAACGTATAAATATTTTTAATATATATTGTAAAAATAAACTTGCATTTAATATTATTTTTTAAAAGAACATAATAAATGCATTTTATTGAAAGCAATGAATATATAGAGAAAAAAAAAAAAAAAAAAAGGAAAAAAGTTTTTAATAATGAATTTTTAAAACTTAAAAATTTTCATTTTCTCATAAATAATACCTCAACATTCCATAATGATATATTAAAATTTTAAAGAAACTATAAATTTATAAAAAATATTATATAGATCTTAAAATTAGCATGATCACTTTTAATGTAGGAGAATAAAAAATCTTAAAATTTTATTTTATAAATAAGTTTATATATTATATCTTTTTTTTTTTATCTTGTAACACGATTTTTCGATATTGTGATATGATTTTTTTATTTAATATATTTATAGATATCATTTTCTTCTTATAGAATAAAACAAAAGAGCATTATTTTTTTGACATTTTTGCATTTTAAAATAAAATAGCACACACAAAAAAAAAAAAAATAAAAAAGTATATTTACACTTTATTTTCTTTACATTTTTTATATAACTATCGTTTTCTGTTTTTTTTATTTATAAATAATCATTTACACACGCAAATACATATGTTAGAATCATTGAATATTTTTTTTCTTATGTTTTACATATATAATGTTTGAATAATATATATATATCCTCTTTTTTTTTTTTTTATTTTTTTTTAAAAAAATAAAAAGCTTAGAAAATAAAAAAATCCTAAATATTTTTTTAAGAGTTATGTTTATTTTTTATGCTACACATTTTTAATTTAAAAAATTCTCAAATTAACATATTTGTTTGTTTAAACAAATGTATTACATATAAACCTAAAAAAATAAGCATAGTTTCAAAATTTAAATTCTTATACTGAGCACGTTTAGATCATATTTTATCTTAAATTTTTTTTTAAAAATTGAAGAGATATATAATTCTTTAACTTAAAAAAATAAACTTCTAAAAGGAGGCTTCATAAGAATTATATATATAACAATCTAAAACATTCTAGTTCTCTTCTTAAGAACTTGTGATTATAAATTTAATTAAACTTGCTTTTTAAAAGAAAATTATATATTTAAATTGATAAATAAATAAATATATATATATATATATATATACATATATATAGGTAGAATATAAGAATAAGTTAGTAAAAAATTTTAAAGATAACTAATTTAAAACAATATATGTTTTTTTTTTAGTAATTAATAAGATCCTAATTTATCAATTTTCTTTTTTTTTTTTTTTTATGCGTGAAATACATATTTATATTATTTTTTTTCTTAATATATACAAAGCTTAAAAAAAAAAAAAATTTGGTCCGCATGCACCAATCTTTTTTTTTTTTACTTAAATTTTTTTAGCAGTAATGTTGTGAATAAATATTATATATGCGCTATATATTTATTACTATATTATTGTTATTGCCTTTTTACTATTATACTATAGCTAATATTTAAAATTTTTTTTTTTTTTTTTTTTTTTTTTTTTTTTTTTTTTTTTTTTTTTTTTTTTTTTTTTTTTTTTNTTTTTTTTTTTTTTTTTTTTTTTTTTTTTTTTTAATATCATTTTTATTAATATATTTAGTAATAATTTTTAAAAAATTCAGTAAATAAAGTAATTTTTTTTTTTTTTTTTGACTAATTTTCTATTGAAAATTTTTTTTTTAAACTAAAAATGTAGTAAGGGTAATTTTAGAAAATTGTAGATATATATAAATTTTTATTTGTAATCAAGGAATATTGATTTATAAGTTATTATTATATATACTTAAAAAAAAGAAAAAGTTAAAGCATGCAACTGCTATAAAAAAAAGAAAAAAGTAAAAACATGCAACTGCTATATATAAAAAAAAAAAAAAAAAAAAAATTTATGAATTTACAACATATGTTACCTTTTTAAATACTTCATTTTCCACTTTTTTAACTTATTTTGTTATTATAAAAAATGTTTAGAGTTTTATAAATTATTAAAAAATGAAATGAAAGCTTATTAATTCTTTTTTGTGTAAGAATTTTCTAAATTAACTTAACTATTTTCTATTCATTTCTTTTACTTCATTTCTTTTATTTCTTTTCATTTCTTTTTTTTCTTTTTATTTCTTTTTTTTTCCCTTTTTCTTTTTTTTCTTTAAATTTTATTATAGGAACATTTTTAATTTTGAATAGAAAAAAATAATAATATTTTTTTTAAAACTTTTCATTATATATATAAATATATATATATATGGATATATATATATATACATACATTTATACATATATATCTATATATATATAAATATATATACATATATATGAAAGTATTTTTTTATTATTTTCTTTTATTAGTTTTTTTATAAAAATAATGAAAGAAATAAAATTACAAAAGAATTATTCTATAAAACACACTTGTATATAAGTATATATATATATAACTTTCATCAATAACTATATATATATATGTTATAAATTTAGTCTCTTTTTTTTTTTTTTTTTTTTTTTTTGACATTTTAATTTTTAATTAATTTAAAAAGGAAAACCTATATAAAATTAATTTACCATTCAAAATTTTGAGAGTCTACTTTATATATAATATGAATTAAATAATTTAAAATAAAAAGGAAATAAAAAAAAGAATTAAAAAGAAACCAATGTAAATTATTAAATTTTTTTTCCGTATTTCTATTTTATTGTATTATACTTTTATTTAATTTAATTTTTTTTTTTTTTTTTTTTTTTGGTACCTTTTTTTTTTTTTTTTTTTTAAATATTCAAAAAAAAATTATTAAAAATGACATCAGAAGAAAATATAAATTATAATTCAAATCATTCAAATTCAAGTTCATCACAGGATAAAAAAAGTATCGAAGAGCAAAATTCAGATGATAAATCAGTAAAGGATGACGAATCAGAAGCAGAAAAACTTAGAAGATTAATTGCACCTTTATCAAAAGAACAATTAATAGATATTTTAGCAACATCAGCTATAATTCATCAAGATATACGTGATAAATGTAATGAAGCTGTTGCTTCATCTCCTTCCACTAGGAGATTAATGGTTCGTAATATCCCATTTAGTACACGTGATGAACAATTTTTGAAATATTTTGAAAGTTTTGGGGAGATAGAAGATGGTATAATAGTTAGAGAAAAAGAAGGAAGATCTAAAGGTTATGGTTTTGTTACTTTTAAATATGTAGATTCTGTTCAAAACTGCTTAAAAAGTAGTCACACATTAGATAACAAAGAATTACAAGTCCGATTAGTAGCTGATCCATTCACAGATCATTATCAAAATAAATTATTTGTTCGTAATTTGTCACAAAAAACCAATGTTGGAACTTTGCGTTCAATTTTTGAAAAATATGGAAAATTAGAAGAATGTGTTATAATACATGATAATGAAGGAAAATCAAAAGGATATGGCTTTTTAACATTTTCTTCTCCTAAAGAAGCCTTTAAAGTTATGCAACAACCAGAGCGTATTATTGATAATAGGGTAGTCTTCTTACATTTTGCAGTTTCACAAAACTATAAAAAATATCAAAATAATCAAAATTATGTAAAAAAACATCAAAACTATAATTATTTCCAAAAAAATAACATAAATAATCGTAACAATTTTGTTAGAAGAACTCCAATATATCATCATGAAAATGAAGCACCAAATACTTTTAATTATCCAGTATCATTTGTTCCGAATATATACACTAATGTTCCACATGGCTATCAAATTAATTATCCAAGTAATTTAGATTCTTTTAATGCTTTCTATAATAATCCGCGGTATTAAATTTTTTTATTCAGAATCAATTAAATATATATAATTTTATTTAGTTATTATTTTACATAATTTCACATAATTATGTTTCATTTTTTTTTTTTTTTTTTTTTTTTTTTTTTTAATTAATTTTACTTCACATTTATTTTTTTAAAAATGTGCGCACTTTTTTTTTTTTTAATTTTTGCGTGCATAACTTTTTATTTTGTCTATTTTATTATTATTATTAATATACCTTAAATTTTATTTCATTTTTTTTTTTTTTTTTTTGTAAAAAATTTTACATATATATAATGAATAACATTATTATAAAAATATAACATGTTTCATTATAAATATTACTTTGGGTTAAAAGTGCAATAAAAAATAATTTTGATGCATATAAAATTTTATATATATATATATATATAAATATATATATATATGTATATATATATATTTATATATATATATATTTATTTATAATTTATGTATATATGTGTGGCATTTTTTAATCCACTTATAATGTTTTTTACCTTAATACATTTATATATATATATTTGTAATTTAAGATAAAATACATTTTCATATGTGAAAATTCATATATAAAGATTAAATATTTTCTTCATATTTAAAAAAAAAAAATAATAAAATTTTCCATTTTTATATATTTTTTTTTTTTCATATCATTGATTAAAAATATAAATTATTTTAATTTTATTTTTTATTAAGAAATTTTAAATGCAATAATTATTATATTTTTAAATTTCCAAAAAAAAAAAAAAATGAATAGTTTTATTTTTTTGATAAATTATATAAATGTAAAAAAATTATGTTTTTTAATTCACATTAATATATATATATATATAAATATATTTTCTTACCTAGTTTGTTTATATTTAAACTTAATTTTAAAAATTATTAAAAACATAAATGCATGTCTATTTTTTTTTTTTTCCTATCAAAAATTTTCCATAAAAATTGTGGAAAAATAATAAATGAAATGAATTTTTAGATTATTTAAAAAAATACACAGATATTTTTGTGTAAAATGGATCTTTAATATTTGGTTTGATTTTATCTTTTTTTTAATTGTTCATTTTAATATCATAGTTAAAAAGACAAGTGCAAATTTTTAAACATAGCATTAAAGAATTATTTTCCTTTTTTTTCTTTAGGTGTTAAAATATTTTTTAAAAGAATTTTTTAAACATATGCAATTCGAACTTAAAAAATATTTTAATTTTTATCTTAATGAATTTTTTTTTTTTTTACATCTTTAAAAATGTATTTCTCTGATGTTTAAGACCTCAGCTTTTAAGTAAAAATGTTCCTTTTTGGTTTTTTTTTTACAAGGTTTCATATATTTATATATTTTCTTTTTTTTTTTTAAATTATTGATAATCTTTTAATACCTATATCTAATTTGTTTATTTTCAAATTGAAAATAAAGAAAAATGAATTACACATTAAAATAATAATGTATGTAGGTAAGTATAAAATGATATTCATGTATGAAATAATGTTTAAAAACATAATAAGAACGAGAAAAATTGATTATTTCAAGGGTAATTATAAAAAATAGTATAAAAAACTTTAAACACATGTTGTATTTTGCTTTAGAGGTATCTCAGCTTTTTCATGAATTTTCAAAAATATATATTAGAATAACAAAATTTTTTTTTCTTTTTTCTTTATAAAAAATATTATATTTAAAGAAGAAAAATTTGATAAAATGAAATAAAAAATTTTGTTTATTATTTTATAAAAAAAAAAAAAAATAATTTAATTTTTTTCGCTTGTTCTAAATATTAATGTAATAAAAAGAATAAGATATGGCATTATTTTACCACCATTCATTTTTTTAAATTTTACAAAAAAAAATAAAAAATTGTTTTTTTAAAAAATTAATATAAATAAAATCTTAAAATAATATATCATTTATTTTAGATATTCTTAATTTCAAGGAAATATAAAATATGTTTTAAGTACATTTAAGAAAAAAAAAAAAAAGCTTTAAAAGATTCATAAATATAATTAAAAAAAAAATACATATAAAGAAAAATATTTATGTTTAAAAAAACATAAAATATATGCTACATTATTTTTAAAAAAATGTCAGAGCTACATAAATTAAGTTATTGGGAAGAAATATATAAAAATGAAAAAAAAAATTATGAAGAATCAAACATTGAATTGGAAGAATGGTTTGAAGAAAATTGTGATAAAATAATAAACTGGATTGAAACTAATTTCAAAGAACAAAAAAATATAGCAATTCTTGATATAGGATGCGGAAATGGGTTATTTTTATATAAATTATATGAAAAAGGATTTGTAAATTTACATGGTTTAGATTTTTCAAATACTGCTATTGAATTATCTAAAAAGCTCTTTAATAATATAAATATAAATTTAGAAGTTTTAGATATTTGTAACATTGAAAAGGAGATACATAAATCAAAATTAAATAAAAATTATAATTTATTAAATGATAAGGGAACATTTGATATATTTTTCATGAATAATAAAGAAAATGAATATTTTAAACAAATTTCTTTTTTCTTACAAATAAATACTGTTTTTTGTATTACTTCATGTAACGCTTGCAAAGAAGAAATATTACAAATTATTAAAAATTTTAATGATAATAATAATTATAAATTTAAATTATCATTAATTGATGAAATATCTTATGAAACTATATCATTCTCAGGTAAAACTGGTCAAATCATTACTACTTTAATTTTTAGGTGTTTATAAATTTCCTTTTTTTTTTTGTCAACACTGATTTCAATTAAATTATTATATATATATTTTTTGGATAATTAATTATACTGATTAATATTTTCTATTTAAAATAAACAAAACTACACAATGAAATTAAAAAAAAAAAATAAAATATGTTATTTTTATAAAAGTAACAAATGATTAATTTGGAAGAAATATATATCACAAAATTAAAATTAAAAAAAAAAAAAAAAATATATATATACATATATAATTAAAAAGACAAGACTGATTTGAACATAATCATGTTAGTTGTATCTTTAATTTATAGAATACATATATAAGATTATATTTTTTGTTAATGGACAATTATAAAATTTTAATGATGCAAGTGGCATTTAAATGATACAATGGTAATTTAATTAAATATATTTTGAATTATTACAAAATTAAAATATAGAATAAATAAATATATATATTTAGAAAGAGAACACTTAATTTTTCTTGTTAAATATATTTAATCATACTATTTATTTTAAATGATATCAAACTTTGTTAAAATTTACATTTATTTAATTGTTGTATTTTTATTATATAATTGCTTATTTTTAGTAAATTTAAAAAAAAAAAAAAAAAGGGATTTTACGTTTTTCTCTATTGTTAAAAAATTTTGAAATGATTTTTAAATAATGCTAAACTTAATTACTATACACAATTAGAATAAATATTTTATTTTTTTGATAATTATTAAAATTTATCAAAAGATTGTAGTTGTATTTATTGTAAAAATGATATTATTTTTTATAAGATTATATGAATTCAATTTTTTTATATTACTACTTTTTGTAATTATGTTTATTATAATAAAACATGTAATTTATTTTTTATAAATTAATACCCTCTTAGTTATTGTATAATTATTAATGTATATTTTACTGATGTTATTCATATTTGTAACTTTTGGATAATGGCTTATGTGTTCATACAACTCTTTATTTTATCTTTATTTTTCTCTTTTATAATTAGAAAATACTCATTTTTTAAAATTTATATTTATAAAATTATATTAGTTTTTATTCTAAAAATCATTAATTCTATTGATAAAATTTTTCTTTTCACATTTCTTTATAAATTCTTTTTCTTTAGGATATTTCAAATATTTATTAAATATGTTTCAAATTTAAATTATTATTTCTTTAAGTTAATTTCGTTCATACTAATATATTTATATTATCATTATTTTGAATTTTTATTTCATTTTGTCTTGTATTAACTTCACGCAAATATAAATTTATATTATTACTATAATTGTTTACTATATCTATATAAAATAAAAATTAAATAATCTAAATCAGTTCCTTCGTTATTTTGGTGGACTATTATACGTTTTAACATTATGTATATTTCTTTTAACATTTATTTTTCTATTTCTAATATTACTGTTGATTTACTTTACCTTTATCAGATTCTTTTATTTAATTAAATGAATATTCATATATTTTCTTATGTTTATTAATTAATATTGTTAATAGCTTGATAAAAAATAATACTGTGAAAGTTTTATTTTATTTTTATTTAAATGATGTTTTAAGTAAATTCTAAAGATTTTACAATATATTCAATATGAACTTTTATAGAATCATTTTTATTTATTTATTTTCATAATATATAACTCTTTTTTCAAAATTTAAATTTTCATTCCATTTCAACTGTATTATAAATTAATAACATTTTTTTTATATTATTAAATATTTTTTTTTTAGTTTTTCAAGACGTTTTCAATATATTACCTAATACCTAAACTATTTTAAATATTGAATATGTAAATATATATGCTTTTATGATAATTTAATTTACTTAGCTAATGATATTTTTATTCTAACACTTTTGTCTATTGAAGAACTTAAAAAATATTACATTATATATAGAGAAAATTTTGAATTTCTTCATATAGAATAATTAAAATATAACTTTTTTTTTTTTTTTTTTTTTTTTTTTATAAATTATTATCTTTTTTGCTTATTTCCATACTATAATTAGTTTTTAAATTTTAAAATTATACTACAATTGAAATAATTTTTTCATCTATAAAATATTTAACAATTAAAACAAATTAATATATATATATAATTTAATAAAAAATGTTAATATAAATCAAATTATAAAATAATATGGTTTAGTAGGTTTTGAAATATATTTTTTACAAATTAAAGATTGAATTTTCTATATTTTAATGTACACCTTGGAGTTAATTATGATCTGTTATATATAATTACATTGAGAAAAAAAAAAAAAAGTTTAAAAAAGATACTTTCTAGTAGTTCTAAATGAAATTATTTAAACTATATTTTTCATAATTTTCAAATATAGATCATCATAAAAGAAACAGTAAAAAAAGAGTAAAAAAAATATAAAATTTTTAAACACAATTATTTACAAAAAAAGATAAGTAGTTAAATTAAATAACAATTTATAAAATATTAAATTAAAATAAATTAATACAATGTGTTTTTATTTTTTATTTTCTTTTTTTAAATTTAAAATATGTGTTCCTTTTGTACTCATATTATATTTACTCATATGCCTCAAAAAAAAGGTTGCTTTTTAATTTTTTTTTTAAGCACTGTTTTACAAAATATTAATGTATATATATATATATATTTTTTTTTAAATTAAATACATATATTTCTTTTATTTTTTAAATTAAATACATATATTTCTTTTATTTTTTTAATTATTCATTAAATTAAAACAGTTCTATAAAAATTGCATTAAATACTATATTTCAATACAATGAAATTAATTTAAAGATGAAATAATTTTTGAAAAACAAAAAAAAAAAAGTGGCATATTATAAAATAATCTAAGATGGTTAAAATTATTTTAAGTATTCTTTTAATATTTTCGTTTACTCTCAGTATTTATTAGAAAAAATAAAATGAAATAAAATAATAGATACATAACATGATAAAAAAAATTTATATAAAACATTTTTATTTTTATCTAAAATATAAGATTTAAGAATTTTTTTTTTTTTTTTTTTTTTTTTTTTTTTTTTTTAGTAGACATTAGCATTTATTCAAAATATACAACAAAAAATAACCTTTCATATTTCTTAACGAACAAAAACAATAATAAAAAAAATCCATATTCTAATATTTTAACTAAAATAAAAAATTATACAATTAAAGCTATCTATAAAACTGAAGTTAGAATTAAAATTAAAAAAATACGCAAATTTTTTTTCAATAAGACATTTTTAATATTTTTTAATTTGTAGCTTTTAACATATTTAAATGATATAAATAATTTAAATTTGGGAAATGGAAAAAATGAATTTTATTTAATTGCTTTGCCACTTAGTGATAAATTCAATCCTTTTGTTGGTACATATATATATATATATTCATATATATTAATTTTTATTTTATTATATTTTTTCTTTATTTATTTAGGCACATTTTGTCATAATAATATACAATACAGTGATAAAGCTTCATTGCCAATATTTATATATGATATAGTAATATGAATATTAAAGAAATACATATTATTCAATTACCTTTTTTTTTTTTTTTTTTACATTTTCTTTTTATTTTTTTTATTTTTTTCTATAGCTTTTAAATAAACACATTGAAGTACCATGGAATTTTGTTATTGAAAAAGTAAACATAAAAAAACCCTTAACTTATGAAAATGTTTTTATGACTGATATAAATAAGTTTTGTGAACATAAAAATATTAATAGTAAGTAATTGAAAAATATACAAAAATATATTTTATATTATAAATACTTTATTTTTTTTTTTTTTTTTTTAGAATTAGACAGAATTTTTATTAATGTACTTGATTTCAAATCAAAAAAGAATTTCATTTTTTTACCAACATGGATTATGAAAACATTGAATCTTAAGTATAAAAAAAAAAAAAAAAAAAAAAAAAAAAAAAAAAAANATTCTTACTACATCAAAACAACAAAAAATAAAAAACAAAAAAAAAAAAAAAAAAAAAAAAAAAAAAAAAAAAAAAAAACATTATTTTATTTTCTTTAGAAGATTCTATATTTATTACATATTTTATTTTATTTTTTATTTTTTTATTTTTTTTTTTTGTTTTTTTTTTTTGTTTTTTATTTATAGTTGTTTTGATGTAGTAAGACTTAGATTTGTGAAATTAGAAACTTGTATTAGTGTAGTATTGCAACCACATGATAAAAAGTTTTTTGAATTAGAAGAACCAAAAGTTATATAAAAAAAAAAAAAAAAATTATAAAAAAAAAAATATTATTATTCTTTTATACATTTTTTTTTTTTATTTATCTATTTTATAGAAAATATTGGAAGAAAAATTAAGATATTATTCTTGCCTTACAAAAAATAGTACTATATGCATAAATCATGATAATTTCATTTACTATTTTGATGTAGTTAGAATTGATTCAGGTTTAAATTAATACCTACATAATACCTTTAAACTTTTAAATAAATATTCTTATATATATATATATATATATTTTTTATAGAAAATAAAAAAAATGTTGAAGTAGCTTCCATCCAAGATACAGACGTAATTTTTGATTTCGTTAAGGAAAAATATGCAAAATGAAAAGTAATTTTAATTTATATATTTATAAAATGTACACTTTTTTATTATTAAATTTATTTGATTATTTTTATTTTTTTTTTTTTTTTATCCAATTAATAAATATATATATTTTTCTTTAATTTCCAGAGATAATCTTTATTTAATATATTTATAATATATATTTTTTTCTTAAGTTTTATGAAATATTTAGAAAAAAAATTTAATCTTTCAATTTTCATTTAGATTATAAAAATAGAGACTTATAGACAAAAAATAAAACAATTTCAAAAATAATAAAAAACAAAAAAAGTGATAACAAATGTTAAAAATAAATATAAAATAATCATAAAACAGAATAAACGAATCAAATACATTTAATAAACTTTAAAATTTTTAAATAATTATGATACATATAAATAAAAAAAAGAATTGATAAAAAAAAAAAAAAAAATATTCTTTAATTGCTTCATAATTTATGAAGTAGTAGCAATAAAAGAAAAAATTAAAAAAGAAATAGAATTTCATTTAAGAAAATAAGGAATATATACTACATATGAATGAAAAAAAAAAAAAAAAA